CCAGTTTCGGTACATACCAGTGTCCTGATTGAAAAACAGTGATCTTCCACCGACGTTGAATCGGTACACCATCTCCAGCGCAGTGCCGTTTTCGATCGGAAATGTGTTGTCGCTGCCTATATATTTAACTCCATCTGAATTTTGAGCAGAGGTGTAGTAAAGATTGTTGGGCATGGACACAATTTCAATTCCGTTGATAAACGCATACGCATCTGAAGTTGCTCTGCTTGGCTTGAAGGTGATGTTCAAGCTCTGTTCTGACTCAACGTTGAGGCAGAATTCTCTGTATATTGTATCAGACCCAGAAGCATCGGCAGTGACTGAAGAGTTGAAGTCTTTGAGAAGGGTGAAGCCACCGGCTTTGACTGAGAAGAGGGCTTTGGATCGGTCGAAGTCAGGGCCATATGAAGCTGGGTAGAAATACAAACGGATGAACTTTTGGCCGGTGGTGACTGGAAATCTGTATGTAAATTCAGAGCGAGAAAGCCTCACAGTGCGGTAAGGTACTTGGCTTACAGAGGAGGAAGAAGGTGCTTGTCTGGATATGGAGGGGCTGCCAGCTGCTTGGTTTTCAAAGGGGGAAAACTTTGAGTTGATATCTCCAGTCCAAGTTCTGGTGTCGTCTGGATTGAGTTGGTCGCCGGAAAAGCCACATTGAAGGGTGATATCGTCGACCGGAGTGTAGATAGGAGAAGTGTCACCGGCCACGTGTATGGCGATGATGTGCAGAAACAGGGGAAGGAACAGAGGAGTGAGAATGGGTTTCATGGTAATGGACTTATGAAGACGTTTGCTGCCTGCTTGGGTTCTTCATGATTGGAAGAGAAAGATGAGAGGGAGGGTGAGGTGAAGGTGATTGAGAGGAGGGTCGACTCGTGATTGGAAACAGGGGAAGTTGCTGCTACTTATTATTGTAAGCATAAGAGCATTTCCAGCAGTCAAATCCTTGCCATGGCAAGGGGGGCTATGGCTGATACTATTCATGTGAATAGTGGCTGCCATTGTCTTTTTTAGCTATGTGTGTTTCCAGCAGTCAAAGCCTTGCCATGGCAACTACTATTCATTTTTTTGTTTTTTTACAACTTTTTTTACTTAAACAATTATTTTGGATAATATTTTCGGGTAAAATTTTTGGGTTCCTACGTGTCAATACTTAAAAGTGAAGAGAATTGGTTGGTATTTATAGAAAAAAAAAATGCAGTAATTTTTTAGTATTTTTTTTAAAAAATTTTGATTTTTTTTCCATTTTTTTATTGCACAAAAATTGGCTGCCGTTGGATTTGAGGAAAAATTCTGATCGGACAGCCCAGAACGCGACACGTGGCATAGTGGACTGTAGCGCTGCACTATAGCGCTGACGTCATCGATGACGTCAGCTTGCCCGAGTTTTGGACCTGGGGCTCAACTTGCCCTTGGGCCAGCCCAATTCGCTGGGTCCCACAGCTTGCTCGGGCTGGATTTTGTTGCTGGAAACGAGTTTTTGGGCTTCCCCCCCTTAGCCCGCCCTTTGCCTCTGTTGCTGGAGTTGCTCTAAGAGCATTGCCAGCAACAAACCCTTGCCATGGCAAGGGGGGGGCTAGGGCTGACACTATTCACATGAATAGTGGCTTCCCTTGCCTTTTTTAGCTATGTGTGTTTCCAGCAATCAAACCCTTGCCATGACAATTACTATTCATTTTTTTGTTTTTTTCACAACTTTTTTTACTTAAACAATTATTTTGGATAATATTTTCGTGTAAGATTTTTGGGTTCCTACGTGTCAATACTATTCATATCAGATAAGATTTTCGGTATTTTTTTTAAAAGTGAAGAGTATTTGTTGGTATTTATAGAAAATAAATTCAGTATTTTTTTGGAATTTTTAAAACATTTTTTCGATTTTTTTTCAATTTTTTATTGCACAAAAAATCGTCGCCGTTGGATTGCTGGAAAAAATCGAATCGGAGAGCCCAGCAGCAGCCACGTGGCAGAGAGTATTGTGCGCGGCACTGTAGCGACGCTGTATCGCTGACATCATCGATGACGTCAGCTTGCCCGGGCTGGGTTTTGTTGCTGGAAACGATTTTTTGGGCTTGCCCCCCCCTAGCCCGCCCCTTGCCCTAGCTGCTGGAGTCGCTCTAAGGAGAGTAAGCTATGAGTGCGTGCGTGGTATGTAAGGCTTTGGTTGTCGACGTCATGTCAATTGCATAAGTGAAGGTTTCATTTTATCAAGGACAATGAAACTGCGGATCCAAAAAGGATAGAGAGCACAATAAAACACGAGAGTCATTGACTCATTATCATACATAATGACTGATTTACTTTGTTGATACATTAATTTGCAATGTGACTTGCTAGATATGCCTGCCTGCCGTTTCTGTAGGGAGAGGATTGTTTAATTAGCATTGTCATATTGGAGATCTTTCCGACTCAAAATCTGGATGATTAATTACTTAGAGTTTCAGGCTGCAAATTCTGGTTTCCTCAGAAGCTTTGGTACATAAAATTTTAGTTTCATTTCATGTCATTTATATAACTTAATTATGGGTTGTTACATAAAAATTAATGAAATATCCAAGCATATATGAAGTACAAGCAAGCACTCGCAACGCCCAAATCCCAAAACAAGAAAAGTATTTTAAAACAGGAAAGCTTAAAAATACCACAGAGAACTTGGCAACTACAGAATAACAAAGAAACCAACAACCCAGGTCTTAAATGGAATTATTCAATCAACCCTTCAAATAAAAATTATGGTCAACATTTAAATCCCTTAGATTAAATTTTAATGAGGTGGCGTATGGAGAACAAAAGTAAAGCAGATCATAGCAGAGGATCTGAATCCTTTTTTCTTAATATAAAAATATTTCTAAATCGCTATATAAGGTACGTAGCAAACACGCCTTAAAAAGGGTGCGTAGTGGTAAATTTAATATTCGGTTGTCAACCATGTTCTCTAAGAGCATGTCCACCCCAAAAGGCTAAGGCAAGGCTAAGAGCAAGTCCAGTGCTTGCTTCAAACTGGGCAGGAGGCCCCCCAACCAAGCCCAGACGCCCTCCAGCGCAAGAGATCCAGCCCGGGCAAGCCCACGGGCAGATCCTGCTTGGGCTGAAGCCCGAAGGCGTTGACATCATCGTGATGTCACGGTGACGTCAGCGAGCGTATATTCAAATTTTTAAAAAAAAATTGATTTCATCGCGCTGACGTCAGCGACTGACAGCTCCCAACGGGAAGAAGCCACGTGGCGCTTCCCGGATGCTTCGATCGTTTTTTGTCCAGAAATCCGACAGACTCGATTTTTTGGAGTAAAAAAATGCGAAAAAATTTCAAATTTTTTTTAAAAAAAATACCAAAAAATTATGGATTTTTTTCCCTATAAATACATAACCATTTTATTCACTTTCCACACCAAATCTTCATACCAACTCTTCTCCTTCCAATATTTTTTACTTTCCACTCACATTTTTCTATTACAAAATTCCATTTGTGCAAAAATATAAATGGCCTCTTCCATCGAAGCCGGAGGGTCGTGGACAAACGTTCGAAGAGATCAAAATCTTGGCGGCGAGGTAAAAAATAATAATTTCCGTTTTATTCAATTTAATGTCATTTATGTATATATATATATATATTTTTTTTTCTTGCATTTCCAATTTCATTTTTTTAAATAGATTATTCAAGGCAAAACAAAAAAGAGGAAAACCATTACACATGGCTCCTCAAGTGAGCAATGCCCGCAATCAGTTCCAGTGGTGCGTTCTGTGTCGGAAATAATGGCACTATTACGTCCTCCGAAGGAAAATACTCCCCCACTTCGTGATGCGGTGGAACCGCCTCCGCCAATGATTGAGTCATCCTTGTACTCGATTATGTCGGACTATGAGGACCGGGAGTATTTCAATTGTATGATGAGTGAGTAGGTATTTCAATTGTATGATAAGTGAGGGCAAGGGCAAATACTATTCATTGTACTTTATTTCCTATTTTTTTATACTTTTTTTTTGTCTGAATTTTTTTATACTTTAAACCATTAATTTTGATAAGCTTTTCAAATAATATTTTCGGTTGCCACGTGTCACTATTTATTATAAAATTATCACCTAAAATTTCAGATAACATTTTGGATAAAATTTTCGAATTAAATTTTCGGATAAGATTTTTGGTTGCCACGGGTCCATCATTTTTCAGAAAATATTTTATGATGAGATTCTCGGTTGCCACGTGTCTTATTTCAGATAAAATTTTCGGATATTTATTATAAAAAAATTATAATCTCAGATTTCAAATAAGATGTTCACCCTCTAAAATTGCGCCACGTGTCCCATGTCAGATAAGATTTTCATATATTTAAAAAAAATAAATTATAATCTCAGATTTTAGATAACATTTTCACCCTATAAAATTGCGCCATGTGTCCCATGTCAAATAAGATTTTTAGATATTTAAAAAAAAAAATTATAATCTCATATTTTAGATAAGATTTTCACCCTCTAAAATTGCGCCACGTGTCATCTCTATCTTCTGAATCCCTCTATAAAACTACACCATCAACTCATACCTCTCACACCATATCTTATCTATTCCTTCATTTATGAGATTTTACAAAACACATTCTACTCCCAATGTCAAACTTGAGGAGGGTGTTGGAGAGGCAAGAGCGAGAAGAGGAAGAAATCTGGAGCAGACATGCTGAGGAAGATCGGGAGGCCGATGAAGAAGAGGAAGAAATGCTTGTAGCGGTGTGTATGCTTAATGAATCAAGGCAACACCACCATCGTCGTGCCCCGAATGTGGACAGACGAAGGCAGTCTCGGGGTAAGAATCTCTTGGAAGATTACTTTATCCCAAATTCATTATATCATGTTTCTTAGTTTCAAGAGAGATATAGAATGCAGCCACATTTGTTCCAAAAAATCATGCATGATATTTGTAATTACGACACATACTTCATTCAGAAGTATGATGCTGTTGGAG